TGGGCCTGGAGAGGAGATCTGGGCCTGGAGTGGAGATATGGGCCTGGAGAGGAGATATGGGCCTGGAGTGGAGATCTGGGCCTGGAGTGGAGATACGGGCCTGGAGTGGAGATATGGGCCTGGAGTGGAGATACAGGTCTGGAGTGGAGATCTGGGCCTAGTGTGGAGATATGGGCGTGGCATGGACAGATGGGCCTGGAGTGGAGATCTAGGCCTGGAGTGGAGATATGGGCCCAGAGTGATGATATGGGCCTGGAGTGGAGATCTGGGCCTGGAGTGGAGATCTGGGCCTGGAGTGGAGATATGGGCCCGGAGTGGTGATATGGGCCTGGGGTAGAGATATGGGCCTGGAGTGGAAATCTGGGCCTGGGGTGGAGATATGGGCCTGCAATAGAGACATGGGCCTGGCATGGAGGGATGGGCCTGGGGTGGAGATCTGGGTCTGGAGTGGAAATTTTGGCCTGGAGTAGAGATATGGGCCTGGGGTGGAGATCTGGGTCTGGAGTGGAGATTTGGGTCTGGAGTGGAGATTTGGGTCTGGAATGGAGACATGGGCCTGGCATGGAGGGATGGGCCTGGAGTGGAGATATGGGCCTGGAGTGGAGATATGGGCCTGCAGTGGAGATATGGACCTGGAGTGGGGATACAGGTCTGGAGTGGAGATACAGGTCTGGAGTGGAGATACGGGCCTGGAGTGGAGATATGGGCCTGGGGTAGAGATATGGGCCTGGAGTGGAGATTTGGGTCTGGAAAGGCGACATGGGCCTGGCATGGAGGGATGGGCCTGGAGTGGAGATATGGGCCTGGAGGGGAGATATGGGCCTGGAGTGGAGATATGGACCTGGAGTGGAGATCTGGGTCTGGAGTGGAGATCTGGGCCTGGGGTGGAGATATGGGCCTGGAGTGGAGATCTGGGTCTGGAGTGGAGACATGGGCCTGGTGTGGAGATATGGGCCTGGAGTGGAGATCTGGGTCTGGAGTGGAGATATGGGCCTGGTGTGGAGATATGGGCCTGGGGTAGAGATATGGGCCTGGAGTGGAGATCTGGGTCTGGAGTGGAGATATGGGCCTGGGGTAGAGATCTGGGCCTGGAGTGGAGATATGGGCCTCGGGTGGAGATCTGGGCCTGGAGGGGAGATATGGGCCTGGAGCGGAGATATGGGCCTGGGGTGGAGATATCAGCGTGGAGTGGAAATATGGGCCTGTTGTGTAGATCTAGGCCTGGGGTGCAGATCTGGATCAGGAGGCCGGGTCTCTGCACAGCTGAGATCCCTGCTGCGGGGGCAGGTAGGCAGCCAGGGTGAGTTTACCTTCAGGCCAGCAAGGGCCTGGCTGCCCAGACACATAGTCCCATGGGGGCAGCACGGGAGGCCCTGGTTTGCCTGCAGATGGATCATCCACCATGATCTTTCTTTCCAGGGTTCTTCTTGGTCCAGAGGGCCTGTCCATACACGGGTGAGTCCTTCCCCAAACCTTAGGGTCTCATCTCCCCACCTAAGAGGATTTTCCTGAAACAGGAGGGAAGTCCTGTCAGAGAGTGTCTCATAAACTACGAAGGGGGGACCCTGGAGTGCTCGGCTCACACTTCTGACCTCGTCCTCTCTGGCCTTTCTTACCGTTGGCTGAGTCAAGCTCTGTGAAGACCGGGGTGAGCTTGGGGTGCTCCAAGCTGAGGTGTGCAGGGAGGAAGTGGTGTCAGCGACTGAGGAAGGGAGGGAAGCAGTGCTAGGAACAGCAGGTCCTCTGAGGACAAAGGTGTAACTCACACCCTCCAGTGTTTCCATGACGGTCAGGGCTGCAGTGTGGCTGCTGTCATTCTACCAGAAGAGGTGGGGAAACCATAGCCATGACCCTGACATTCCAAATCTTCTGATGGGGGTTCAGTTCATGCACTGGCCTGATATTCCATTCACAAAGGACACGCCCTCCATGCCGTGTCTACTTTGTGTTGTTTTATGTGAGCAATCTTGCAGTATTAAAATCTAGTAAGAGTCGCTTATTCAGCACTTGCTCAAAGTTCTCAGCTGACACTTTTCTTGTAGGGGGACGCCATGTCCATGCTGCATAGGTACTTCCTGTAGCCCTGGACACCCAGGTGTGGTAGGAGCCTTAGAAACATGGAAAGGGGAAGAATCTTCTGAGCACAGGGAGGGAGGGGCGACTCCACATCCTCCTCTCTAAGGCAGTGCCTCCTTCTCCCCCAGGTGATCAGGACAAGCCCTTCCTGTCTGCCTGGCCCAGCCCTGTGGTGCCTCAGGGAGGACATGTGACTCTTCGGTGTCACTATCGTGGTGGGTTTAACAACTTCACTCTGTACAAAGACGACAGAAGCCACATTCCCATCTTCCACAGCAGAATATTCCAGGAGAGCTTCCTCATGGG